ACAACTAGGGAATTCACAAGCCTCTCTATAGAGTCCTATACAGGAATCTAGTGGTTACATCATGAAATTACAGGTTTTTCTTTTTTTTTGCTCTCACCCGGAGGTGCTATTCTGCTTTCAAAAATTGGATTTTAAAGGCCTAGTCTCTATTTTAATCTGAAATACTGCATTAATTGAAAAATAATTTTTAAAAAAATTAGAAAAATTTTTTTTGAACTATTTTCAATGGGAAAAATTTATCATAATTATTGCATAAATATTAATTAGTACCATAAAATTCTCTCAAAATACACAAGAGAAAAGAAAAAATATTATTGAACAAAAATATATTAGCTTGATTTTACTGGAAAAAAAAAAAGTTACATTTCAAGTGTCCGGTCACTTTTGTGACCGCGAAGACCATGAGTGCGACTCCCAAATGAGGAGTGCACAGGGTTAAACTATTTTTCATTGCATGTGCATCATAAATAACTATTATGACATACAGTATGTTAATGTGATGTAAAGTCACTCATAGTGTGATATGAGATTCAGTCATGATATTTTGGCCATGTCAGGCTGGTGTTAGAGCAATGGCTATTCTGGCTTCCTATAACCCCATGCATGAGTGCAGGGCTTCATGATGCGCTGGTTTTGTCACGTGTCTGTGCTGCAGGGTGTGTTTGACCAGCGGATGAAAACATGGGCCAAATGCCAGGATGCTCAGGTGATGCTGCAGCGCAAGAGAGAAGCCGAAGCCAAACTACAGCACGCCAACAAACCCGACAAACTGCAGCAGGCCAAAGACGAGATCAGAGAGGTACAGAACACCTCAGACTCATGAGGAAACACTGAGAGAGCGCTGGGGCTGATGGGAAATATCCAGCACGTTTGTTTGCCTTCCCTCCCTTCGGTTCATTCATATCTCTACTGTGTTTACCTCGAATCACCTGACAGCTGCAGGAATTCATGACAGTTATTGATTCTTTTAAGCACGAAACATTTCCAGCCTTTTTAATTTCTGCGTTTTCCCCGTCACGCCCCACAAAGGAGATCGAGGAGGTAGGACCTTCGCTTTGATTTGATTTGCTGTCTCCATCGTCACGTCTGCTGTCTCACACACACTTATATTTGCATTCTGTAGATCAGAGACTAATCATGGATTCATCAGACGCACCTGACATGCTTTCAAACACTACAGCGTCTTTAATCTCTCACTTTAAAGGAATAGTTGAGCTGAAATTAAAATGTGTTTAAGATTACTTGTGGATTATTGTGATGTTTTTATCAGCTGTTTGGACTCTCATTCTGACGGCACCCATTCACTGCAGAGCATCCATTGCTGAGACACTGATGCAATACTGCATTTCTCCAAATCTGATGAAGAAGTTTAGCGTGTTTTCATTTTTAGGTGAACTGTTCCTTAAACAGCTGCTGGCTCATTTGTAGTATTTAATAAATGCTGATGTCTTGTGTTGTTTAGTTGTAGTTTTTAATGCAGGATTCATTATAGTTCACGCCCTCATTCCATAAATCATCATCATACGCTCACTAGACCTTCTGACCTGATGTGACTGACTCTGTTTGTTCTGCTCATGACAGCCAGTTTTTGAGCTCTTTGTGTTTAACACACACACACACGCACACACACGCACGCA